GAACCCTACCATAAGTTCCTCGTATGATGGCTCCAGACCTCAGACGAGTTAGATACTGGGGTACCGGCGAAATTGACTCGGGATTATCCCTTGTTGATGCCCTTTTGCTGGTCATGTTAGCGGTGACCCTCAGAAATTCTCCATCTTCCACCGCCGTTCTTCTTCGTCGGAAACGCCTAGGCCTTGGTTTTGGCGTTTCGGTACTAAGTCTTTCGAAAACCGAAACTCTTTCGGGGACCACTGCCCGAATGAGTTTGGAACAGGGGCATTGAGTTTCCTGTTCTCGGGGACTCCTCTTCCTGGTTTTACTCGTACCCCCAGCACGATAGTACAACTTGTCTGCTTGACGATCGGAGTAACCTATCGTGTGTTGGCACGACTTCTCAGGTATAACGCTATCGTCGTCAGACGATAACGTTTCCTTCTGAGGGGGAATTACCTTCTTCAGACTTTCGAGAGTCACGCGTCTCGAAACATGCCTTTGTGGGCGTGAATTATCAATGGGCTCCTGGACTTCAATGCGCAAGGTAGTGCGCTTGGGTGCCATGATTTCTTTGTCATGTTGAGGGTTGCGGCGACCCCCAGCATGTTGATTCGTTCGGGACTTCTTCATTGGCCCCAAACGTTCCTGGACTGGAGCTTTGCCTCTCTCGTCGGGAATTGGACCGAGGCGCTCCAAAACTGATTTCTTCCTTTGGGACGATTCTGCACGATCTCCCGAAAAAGCTATTGGAATTACCGGCGACTTGGGTTGATTCGCCGGTGGTTGAACTTTTGTTGGAGGCTACTTCGGCCTCCATACTTGGCGGGTTGGTGATGGCTTTTTGGCCACTCTTTCTTCCTCCAATTTCTTGGCCTCCTGCACAAGAATTTTTGCTTGTGCGAGTAACGCGCGGCATTTGTGAATCCGCTCTTTAAGTGTCGAACGGTTCCGTTTGACCCGGATCCATTCGTTCGTTGGCGGCTGGGGGGAGCTGCCATTCTTCAGTTGTTGAGGCTGTTTGCCTCCTCTGTTCTTCAGATCCATGTTGTAGCGGATCCCGTCAACAGACTCCATGGCCTTTGCAAATTGTTTCGCAAGGCGTTGTTGTTGCCTTTGGCGGGCTCTCTTCGAGAGAGTCACCACGCCCCCTGCGGCAGAAGGGTTGGCCAGAGTAGATCCGACCTGGTTGGGGATTGGAGGAATCTCACCCGATGCAACTTTGGCATCCAGCGGGGTGAGATCTTCGTTGGTGTTTTCCACGTCTTCATACCAACGAGTTTTTCTCCTGGAGGAGAACTTCTGGGATTTCTTGGACTTGCGGGGGGAGGTTGATCCGGACGAGGACGACAAGTATTCCTCAAACTTCAGTTGGTCGAACTCGTATTCGACCTCCTCCTCGACCGGGATTGAGATCCGCGGCTGCGACGCATCGATCTCGGCAAATAACACAAGAAATAAAGAAAATTACAACTTTCTCCTTATTTGTCGAACGAATCGCAAGATCCTGTTTTGCGGTCTCTTGCTTTGTGTGGGTTCTTTGCCTGCGCCGGGGTTTATCCGTGGACCACCGCGAGATCTAGATCCGATCAGATCTAAGCAGTACGACGGGTATTATTCCACGAAGGAAATAATAGCCGGGGAGGATTGATTCACCAAGGAAACAATCGTCCAAGTCTCGGGATCTAAGACCAAGCTTAGATCCGGAGTACGTCTGCGTAGATCTGAGATCCGGTCTTCTCGAACACCTGCCTTATTTGGCGTTGACGGTCGCCGAGCACCAGATCTGAATGAGCAAGTCCTCGAAGTCCCAAAGTTGAGATCTTTTTTTAGATCTGAGTCTCCAATCCAGCAGGGCTTCGCCTCTTTCCAAATTTTTCAACCTCTGAACAAATGAACCAAGTGGCCTATTTATAGGCACCCTTTACTGTGCCCGCGCACGGAACAGTGTCGGCCACCTCTAGGTGGCCGGCACTGGGCCGAGCCACCTCAAGGTGGCTCGGCTCATGCCGAGCCACCCCGAGGTGGCTCGGTTTGAGCCGAGCCCCTCCGGGTGTGTTGTTCCGTCGTTTTCTGCTTTTGGTTCTATCCGTGTTTCGGTTCTGTGGTTGATTTATCCAGACTTGATTCGTTGATCTGCGGCTTGGGCCGAGCCACCTTGAGGTGGCTCGGTTTGAGCCGAGCCCCTCCGGGTGTGTTGTTCCGTCGTTTTCCGCTTTTGGTTCTATCCGTGATTCGGTTCTGTGGTTAATTTATCCAGACTTGATTCGTTGATCTGATTTGGCAGTAAATCCGGATCCTGATTAGGCAGTAAATCTGCTTCTGAGTTCGAATCCGAAATTGATCTTGATTCGATCGTGATTCGTCCGAGTCTGCTCTTGGTTGGATGACTCGTTGACTCTTCAACACTTGGCTTGATTCCAAGCGCGAATGGATGTATTCCGTGGCTTGCGTGTGATTCGTTAGCTTCGTAGCCTCGTTAATCTCCTTCGTCGCGTATCGCTTGGCTTCAGCATTGTGGACTAACAATCGTGTCTGCATACGTCGCCCGATGGTCAGTTCGTCGAATTGGTGTCGTCGAGCTGTGTTAAGGGACCTATAGGCAGTTTTATACGCCTACATCTGCATGTAGTAAAATCCCTTGTCCGGGATTACCCTTCAGATAGAGTACTACCCGCAGGGTGCCTCGAGATGCTCTTTTCGAGGCACTTGTGCAAATTAGGACAACACATGCACTGAGTAAGAGATCTCCAGGTGAGTAATTGTCAAGTAAATTAGTCGCTCAACTAGACGCCGATAAACCGAAGCATCCTTCATTTCTTAACCCTTTGCTAGCGCCAATTTCTGTCCATGTTCCTTTGGAGAGTTTGCGGGTTTACTTCCAAAAAGACCACTCTCAGATATTATGTCTAATGCATATTTTCTTTGGCATAGAAAAAGCCCTCGTTGCGATCTGACTACCTCTATACCTAAGAAATACTTGAGTGCCCCCAAATCCTTGATATGAAAACATTTCTTCAGATAACTCTAAAGTCTAAACATGCCTCCGAATCATTCCCTGTTAGTATGATGTCATCTACATATACTAACAATCCCATGAATACTTTGCCCTTCCGATATGTGAATAGCGAGTAATCGGCAAGAGACTAAACAAATCCATGCCGTTTTAAAGCTGTTGTTAACTTAGAGAACCAGTTTCGTGATGCTTGACG